CTTTTTTTCGTTCCAAATTCTATTTCCAATTGAAATACATCTTCTATACATTGTAGTCTAGATGTTTGTTTACACAATCTATTTGACTCGGTTATCCGCAATATTTGTAATTCAAATAATCCTTTTTTGCAGGTTATTTAACTTTTTCCCCCTTTTTTCCCTTTTAGTGTCTCTGGTTGTTGGGATTGTGTACAAGGATCTCCATGAATTACTAGCTATAGATCAACCCATCGGGATGAAAACAAGCAGTAGAAGGTGAATTTACTTCCCAAAGTTTTATGAAACCTATTGTACCTCTCATCTAACACAAATAGCAACGAAAGAAAGAGAAAAAAAAGTGAAATATTTTTTTTAAAACCCTATTTTGGTATACCCTTATGAGTCGATTACAGCTTTCGCGCCTAAAATATTAATGTGAAAGTTTATAAAGGCAACTAGTTTGCCATACCCATTACAATTTTCGCGCTCAAATTTTTTAATCTGTATCAAGTTCAAATTCTATTTTCCTCTTAGCCACTTTGGCTCCAGGATAATGGTCGTGACTATGGATCCGAAACCAAACAAACTGCAAGGGAATGTCATCTTAAAGTTCGGAAACCTGAAGGTAAGATCAACATCGTAATAATATCACGTTTTTTTACGTTGTGTTTAAATATTTTAAAGAGATTATATCCATTTTTAGGTCGATGGAGAAAAGAAATGCATGTTTTGGAGTGGCTTCGGTGAAAGGTAAAAAGCGGAAATACAGATCATTTATCTTGCCTAAGAGGCAGTCGCTTCTGTGAAATCTCAAATTGATTCACAAGTTGAATGAATATCATGCTTCAAAGGGTTTTACCGGACTTAGGTAACTTCTGCCAACCATTATACCTTTGTTGAAATAAGATGTTATTCAGTTAGTTACAAAGGCATAAGAGACTCGTGGCAGGCCAAGCCGTTTAACTTTGTCCTTACTGACAAACTTCCTGTATTGCGCGTGGATAAGAATGTCGATATGTGATGCCTTTGTGCGATGATGATGTAAATGGAGATAGTGAATTGTGAACATCACAAATTCACCATCTTTATCAACATCATCACAAAATTGTTGTCGGTGAGGGAAATTCCAGTCTGATCAGTCATCTCTCGGAGTAATATTCAATACTGGAAAAATAGTATCATTGTTATTGTAAAGTCTGTTCTTCGTGTTATTGTGAGTCTGGTGTCCCCACTCATCTCACCAATTCTTTTTGTAGCTGATAGAGTCCTTTTGTTTACCGTTATTACAGGTTAACTTTTTTAGTTATATTTGTTGTTCTGTTTTGTGTCTACTTGTTTGAATTATTTTCTGTTTCTCCTCTTTTTTTTTGCATAACATTGTGTGTCAACAATTTGTATTCTTTTTTTAGCTCAGACGGATTTTCAGAGAGAGGATGCCAAGTGGTTGCATCGAAAAGCAACTCAGAACAAACGGTTTGCAGCTGCAATCATTTCACTCATTTCGCTTTACTAGTTGACTACAACCGTATCCCAAGGGTAATTAAATCATTTGTACCTTACCATGAGTATTACTTATCAATTCCGTTTAGTTCATTAATATGTTTTTAATATCTCGTGGTGTCATTTGTGACACAGCTCAACAAAGAGGACGAAACTAATTTGGAGATTATCACCTACGCAGGATTAAGCCTTTCCATCATTGGAGCACTTTTAACAATTATACTACATTCCTTACTAATGTAAGTACTCCAGAAAAAAGGTAAAATACATTATTAAAAACTGGATCATTGGATGATGCGATTAAAGACTTTTCATTGGCCTAGCCATTATGGTATATGAGCCAATATACCATAATCTCATACCTGTACATGGAAACATTCAGCTTCTTCTTACAAAATAAAGTCAAGAAGATTTGTCTAATATCTTGGGAGCGTTTTTTTATTAAAACAATTATTCCACTCGCGTTTGTTGGATATGAGATATGAGGCGTAGCGCCTCGTTGGCTATCTACCATCTCATATCGAACAAACGCGAGTGGAATAATTGCTAATTAGTCTTAACGAGATTTTGAAGACTGGAATTAAATCAGACCAGTTCGTTAAAAACTAAAATCAAATAGAAATTTATTATGATAACAATAATAATAAT